ACCGCCGCTGTCATTACGTGTCATCAGCGGCGACCCGCCCCGGCCCGCCCCGCGAGCGGTGGTTGGTAGCGGCACGGCGCGGCCGGTCAGGCGCCGGCCGAGCGTCACGACCCGGAGCTGTCGAAGGCGCACCGACAGGATACTGACGCCGATACTGCAACGTATCGGCGCACTGCCGGCCCGCCCCGGTCATTCCGTCGGTGAACTTGGAAACAACAGTTTTAGCCCAACTGCAGCTTTCTCAAGACCACGCTGTATGCAAGCATCATCGAGTACCGACCAGCTGCGACCAAAACCTTATACGAGTAGGCATGAGCTAGAGCAGTGCGCAACGCCGCCACGGAGGCCGCGACTGACGGCGCTCCGACACAGCCGGCCGGCTTCCGAAAACTGGCCAAACGGGCGGGACGTTCCAGCAGCGTGCAGCGGGGCGGCGCGAGCCGGCAACGAGCTGCGTCGGCGGCGGGCAGCCGTCCAGCCGCCGTGTGCCCGGCTCGACACCCACGCTCTGAGAGCACCGCCAGCGGCCGAGAGCGCCTTCACGAGAGCCGCCGCCGTCGCCGCCGCTGTCTGCACCTCGAGATGAACCGATCCGATCGACGGCCCCAACCAGACAGTCAGCACCGCGCCAAAGCGTCCTCGGAAAACGCCGCCACACACCGATATCCAGCAGCCCGTGCGGCGCGGCGGCACTCGAGGGGGGGGGGGCGAACCGGTCCCGTATGTCAAACACGCCGATAGCAAAGCCGGGACATTGTAATACAGGCTAATGACAGATTCGGTGGGCGATAGACCGCGGACGACCGGCGGCCAGGCGTCAGAAATTGGCGGACGACACGGATCACTGGCTACCGGACACGGACACACTGAGCGCGGACACCGGACACCGGAGAGGGACGAAGGCAAGGACGCAAACGCGGACACAGGGCATCGGACCAAGACAGGGAAAAATAAACACACTTCAGGTGGCATCTCAAAGTAGACGGCTGTACGTCAGCCATCACGAGCACACCTGTTCCCGCTGAGGTTACATGGGTTAACCGCAGGTATACTCGTACCGCCGAATATGCAGCGAGTACACACGTCACACACACTGCCGTGCAGTGAGCGGGCGGCTGGGCGGTGCAGCGTCGGCAGACGGCGGGGCGTCTGTCTTCCGCGGGCGGTGACAGACGACGGCGACAAAACACCGCCGGGACACGGTACCGTGCGCTGTCGCCGCCGACAGACACGACGGGAGGGACGGCGACGGACCGCAGCGGAGTAGGGCCGGGGAGAGAAGCACATCAGTGACCACAGGTGGATGGGGAGGGGAGCTCGAGCTGGGCATCAACCTCAACCTGAGCGATCCAGTGTCGTTAAAGAACTTCATCAAGTTTTTTAGATACCTACCTATCCAGTGTTTCCAAATAAGAGCGAGAAATGAAACATGAGTGGATGCCATCACTAGTGGCGATATACTGTGGTCACTTGGTCACAGCAGACAGCAACAACTACAGGTAGCTCCTGTCTTCAGGAAACAGGCACCCGTCCCAGTGCAGATTTCAGCTGACCAGCTACTCTGCTTCCTCTGGCGACGACATACTACAATGACTGTGCCAGCCAGGTATTGCGATCCGCCCGTCCGTCCCTCCGTCCGACCTCGGTGCGTCGGCCGACGGCCATCCAGGTAGGCGCGCCGCCGCCCCTGCGGCTCACGGAGCGCCGCCCTGTGGCATCCGTCAATGTCGCCGCTCGCACGGTAAAAACGGCCGCTCCGCCGAGCGACCGGCCGGCCCGGTCCGGCAGTCGACGGCGCGGCAGTAAATCAGTCGGCGAGCGACAGACCCCCTCCCCCCCACCGTCCGTCCCTGCCGCTGACACACAGGGGCGGCTACCTGGCTAGTCGGGGTATACCTACCTGCGTGGGCTGACCGGGGTGCAGGGAGACGGTGATGAGTCCGAAAATGTCTGACATAAATGCCGAGGATGTGTCGTAATCCAGGAGTTCGTCGACGATTTTTACATGTCATTAACTATCTCGTGGGCAATCTCGGCCGGGGAATGGCTGTCTGGTAGTGGGATGTTTTTATTTAAATCGTATGCAGCGTTGATAAAGTGCATGTCATTTTTCGATGTAGCCGGCCAGGAGATTGTTCGAATCAAGATGGCAGGATCGAACAGGACTTAGCAGCAGAATACAAGCTGTTTCAATCGGATTTAAATTCCCAGTGAGCACAACTCGCAAGCCGTTTGGTTGTTTGGAGACAGCTCATTCAGGACCGTTGCAAACAGCATGTAAATGCCGCATTGTTCTTGGACAGCTGGGTGTTCTATATACTCTGGACAGCTGCATTGTTGTCGAGTACGACTTTTTGCGGGAGCTCATTACTGGCCGCCATTCGAAATGTCAGTGAATTGAGGGAGTGACAGCGGCACGCGGCACCGCTGCGGAGTGCGGCAGCCACTTGCAGTAGCCCAGTTCCGGCCAAAAAGCGTCCACAACATGCAATCTTAGTCTCCAAAGCATCGAATGGCGTGCAGTGCAGTGGACTGACAACAGACTCTGATTGAGTAGCAATTTGATACCGCGATGACATAACCGAACTTCTGGAAAGCCCGGTCATGCCGGATAATCGACCGGTGCCATGCTCCCTATCCTAGAAAATGCTCAGAATCACGTCTAACAACATATTTAATCGTTCCCGCCTATGATAGGTATTAGGTGAGAAGTGATGGGCTGAATCCTCGCTAGATGAAGGCATTGGATGACCCGGAGAAAGGACGTATTCTTTATCTATCCCTCAATCACGATCGCCCAGTTCATATAAATGGAATAATAAAGTAAACAACAATCAATCTACCTCAACAAGTGTCAAGTTATCCATAACCTGCAGCAACTACGGACATGCAGAATGTATGTACCTAGATGCATGACTGCAGAAATTCTGACGGCTCCATCCCACACGTGCCCACACTGATTTCTAGGACAGAGCTGAGGGTTGCAGATCTTGGATAGCACATGATGGCATGGTTTGGTATAATCTGTACATTCAGGCAAGAGGTTAAAAAGGTCTGACCAATATGACCGAGACCGACCAGCACGCACCATCAGACCCGCCCTCCCCGCACGAGCTCCAGTAAACCGGCGAGCACACCCTGAGGTGAAGTGAGCTGAAGGCTCCCACAGCTGTGCAGTGTGTACGAACGCCTTTTGGCTTTAGGATTTAGGCTTTTGGCTTTTGGCTAATAGGCTTTGGCGGACCGAGCCAAAGCCACACGCAAAGGTTGATGCTGATGCGTCTGCTCAGGAACCAGAAACTGACAGTCACGCCACCAAGGCGCTGTGGGTACGATTTCGGAAAATCGGCATCGCCTTTCACGGTGAACGCATTCATCGAAGCGTAAGGAGGAATCAACTCAAGTTATCAAGATGTGAGCTTTCTCGTACAGCGTGACAACTGGCATGATATGGATATCAAATGTGCACGCAAGCCACAAAGTAGTCACTTTTCACAAAGTTCCAACATAAACAACACAATGAAATGCAATGGTATCACACTACATGCCGCGGCGCTAATACAGGATGAAATCGAACAAACCAAGGGATTAGTAAACATAGCTGATGAACCTCAACTGACGACCAATTATGTATATCGCCCCTGGTTATAGTCCATTTCTCCAGTCTTTCTCAAACGAGCTTTCGAATTTACGCACACGTCTGGTGAGATCAAGGGAAAGGTCAAGGCAAATGATAGGGGGGCAGTGCACGTGGTTCGCGCTCTGCGCCCCTTGCGTTTCCGTTAGTTCGATGAGCGATGGGCGATTTTGAATAAACTTCGCCTTTTGGTGCATTTCAGTGCGACTCAGAGTCATGTCGTCCACTCAGTCTCAACTACAGAAGCAAGAACTACCAATCCTTTTAAACTTGACTCTGATCCGGACTGTCATGGATCTGGGATCACTGGCGGGGCCGGTGCTGAAAGTGAAAGAAGGCAACGTGAGTTGGCAGGGGCGCGGGAACTACTTTACGACTGGGGGGGCACACCATAATAGAGATCAACCTAGGGTACCCCCAAATCTAGTTTTCTCACCGGTTTTAGGCCACTTATTTTTAACCCCTCGGCTTTTTCAACAAAAAAAGAAAACATTTGCAAAAAAAGTGTGATATTCCGTCTCAAAGCTGTGGGGGCACCGCCCCCACGGCCCCAGAGTTGGGGGGGCAAGCTGCCCCCACTGCCCCCCCGGCTCCCGCGCCTATGTGAGTTGGCAATGGCGGGGGAGCAGGAGGGGGGGGGGGGGGGGGCAGTGACGGTCAATTAACTCCTTACCATTTCGGCTGCCTCCGCTTGCGTCTCGTGCCTGGCAATGTTGGGCATCCGTGTGACATTGTAGGGCATGTCCTGGCACGCTTCTATCGTGATAGGCTCGCACTGGCTGGTCCTGTGGGGCTCGAACACCGAGCCGCCGACGGCGACCACCAAAGCCGCCAACACGTGCCACACATCCATCGCTGCCACAGGCGTGACCTCACAGTCGGCAGCCACCGCCTGGCGCGCCGATCAGCACCGCATCGGCCCCACGCGGTCACAGCACAACTCAGCCAACTCAGCGACGACCCCCCACTCGCCGACGACTCCTCGCGACTGACCGCCCGCTTCGCCGACGCACCGCGTCCGCCCGCCAGCGGGGACCACTCAAGGTCACCAGAATAGAGGGCGCCACCGACCGGACGCCTCCCTTCAGTGACCAGTGACCCAACTCGCCGCGTGCCCGGCGAGGGGCGATATGTGAACAAGCAATGCGGGGTGGGTATATAGCCATAGGGCCTTGGCCCGCTTGGGCATGATTATTGGTTATTGGTCGTTCTACGTACGGTGTACTGCAGTTGACAATGACAGTGAAGATTCGTTCTCCACGCTGCTATTTTCCATCCGTTATTTGCGAAAGTCCAGAAGTCAAGAATAGAGAAATGTCAGAACGTGGTTGATCAAAATCTGTTGGATAAACGGCGCTATTTAAGTTGTATTTCATTTATTCAACAATGTATTTCACTCATAACGCTCGGTTCAAACAACGGTGAGACACGATAGCTACAGCTGTAGCACCATGAGTCAATAGGCTCGATTACCTACTGATGAAACTGACACCATACTGAGGACCAGACAACATGAGTCATAAACCGACCGCAGCTTGAGTTCAGTTCACCCCACAGCTCTTGTTAACAGTTATACGTGCATCAGCCGTAGCGGGGAACATAAACGACGAGCCAGGGCGGCAAATGCTTTCATTACACACTGGTAACAACATGCTGCACCGCCCAGTTCCCAGCTCTGCCGGGCTGAGACATATACTGCGGACACCGGCATCTAGCAAAGTTAGGCGTTACTCTCGATCTCAGTCCAGTCAGGAGAGGACGCCGACCGACCGACCACCGGTCCGCGCCGGTCACCGGTCCAGCCCGCTCAGCTCGTCCTCGGAGCGGGTGTAGACGGGCCGGCTGCGAGCGCGCCGCCGCAGCTGAACACGCCCCAGCGGCCGGCCGTCGCGCGGCGCCAGCGCGCCCGGCGGCAGGTTGACCGGCCGCGGGTACGGCGTGCCGTAGTGCAGCGCCAGCTCCAGCCGGCTCTCGGCCTCGGTCAGGTACTGGCGCACGCGCTCCGGGTCCGTCTCGCCCGAGTGGCGCCGGAACAGCTGGCCGGCCTCGGCGCGGATGTAGGCGCGATGCTCGGCCGTCTCGGACGAGTCCGCCGCCTGCCACGTGCGCGCCGCGCGCAGGATCTGGCGGTACATGCTCAGCACCTGAGTCCGCAGCGGCGCTGAAGAGGCCATCCTCGCCAGTTGTCCCCCTCCAGGGCTCCAGGCCCACCTGAAGAGGTGTTGCTACCTGAAATCAGAAATGCTTGCATGGCCATTTCAAAAGACTACAATTATGCTAGGTAGGTATACCGACATGCTGCCAATAGGTAGGTATATAATTTGGTTGATTCAGTGCACTTTGAACTAGGCAATAGTGCTGAGTACCTACCTGCATTCATTATATCATAAGCTTGAAGCGCTCGTAGCTTAGATACTGAAATTCTAGTCCCCGGGAATGAGTCTTGCCCTGCTGCAGGTCAAGGTGCTGACTGGTGCATAAGATCGTGACCGAAAGCCAGTGAAGACATGAATGTTCTGTTTTGAGACTTAGAATTGACATATAGCCCAAAATATGCCTCAACCTCACCTTGCTCTTTCCTTCCTCCTCCTAAGCACTTCATCTATCTCAATCCTCAACGCCTTGCCCTGAAACTAAACTTTCACTTGTGTTCAAATCACAAGTCTGCATATGCTTATTATCGCAGATGATTTTAGTGATGCAATTTCAAAATGTTTTACTCCATTTGTATATTTGATTTTTTATTCTTCCCTCCTTTCATTCTTCACAATGGTAAGTATGGAAGAATAAAAGATGCTAAAAAATGTTAGTAGCTTCAAGTCAATGGAAAATTTGGTCAGGAATAAAAGAAAACCAAAGATTTTTGCCTATCGTAGTGAAGTAGCATCTTTAAAACGTCAAGGTAAAGTGCCGTCGATGAACCGTCTGGATTCAGAATGAATACGAAAGTATTATATATTTGTTTAGGCATAAATGACGCAGCTGTTTCAGTCGTATGATCGAAGCTTCTAATTTGTCGTTTTCGCTAGCACTATTAGACAAATCAGAGGTAAGAGGATCTTTGAAATTTCTGTGTGAAATTTTGATTATAAATAAAATGTGAATGCTTTTTATAGCAACAATGCAATGTAACGCTAAATGAATTTAGGAATGCACAATGAAAGCTGGGGATCAAAGTTTCATGATTTTCTTTGGTGACAGTCGACAGACCAATCCATCAATCATGTAACAGGCTAGCCTGTGCCGCTGGATTCTGCTCGAGTTGACGTAAACACCTTACGTAGAACATTACTACTCTGTGCTTTTGGCCTTGGTCTCTTTCGGGTGGATTGAGGCAAGGATTGAGGAGTTGAGTTTTGGATGAATTTAGCTGTAACTCTCCAGTAATTTTTATTTGAATCGAAAGTTTGTGGTGAAATATTATTTCAAGAATGGCAGATTCAAAGCCCAGTTTATTCTCCTATTCCACGTTGGTTCATGCAATTGCAGGTGCAACGGTAAGAACTGCATTCGAAGAGTTTGATTCAGTTTTATAAAATTTGGATTCCGTCAAATTGAGGTTTATTTCAACCTGTTCCCTAGAAGCTAAGGTCGATATTGTCATTTCATCATAATTATTCTGTCCGTTTTTCTGTCTCCGCAACTTGTTTTCAAATGGCGAGTTGGGTTGTAACTGCAAAACACTGCAATTCTAAAAAGATGAGAATTCATTGGTGTGGTGTGCAGGGTGTATTTGGAATGGATTGGTGGGGCCAGGGGTCTTACATGGTATTATGCTTAATTGCTGTCCTAGTACAGCCTTGTGAAAATAAATGAAACATGCCAGGGCTGCCAATGAATAGTTTTAGTTAAACTGCACTTTTTATCATGAGTGCTCCTTTCTAAATTCTGTTATTAAAGATATGCCCATATTTCTGTGGAAGCTGATTAAGTTTCACAATAGATTTTACGAGCCACCAGGACTATAAGCAAGTCTTAAATGTGGCCAAACTTGAGTTTGTCAATGGTACCCACATTGATGGAAAACTATAGTAAGTAGTAACCTATGTTTGTATAATTAAGTCTACTTCATGGCTCAGTCAGGTTTTCTTTCCTGTTGCATGAGATGAGAGGATAGGAATGTTTGACAGGCACCAAGTGGTGGGGCAGATTGATGGTATGTCTGTGGCCTGTGGGTCTGCTCACCTGGTTTACTACTCACCTGGTCAGTAAACCACCAGGTGGAACTGCAGGGTGGTCCTGCAAGGTGTGCAGGCATACTAATTGCTCTGTTGTGTAGATATCATCATGGAGAATCAGGCTGTGTATTGGCAAGCAGCACTTCAGTTGTGAATGGTCCTTCTTGTTCACAGGGCAGCTCAGTGGCCATGTCACTGACATATCCTCTGGACACTGTCAGGACCAGACTTCAGTGTAAGTGTCATACATCCATCTGGATCTGTGCCCAATGGATCCTCAGGCACTTAAATGAATTTAATCATGGTGCTTTTATTTTTCTTTAGCATGTCAAATAAGTTAAGTGCATTTTCGTCATATTATTGATCATTTTCACATCCATGTTGTGAATAATCCATCACCCCTATGGCCTATTGTACCATCCATGATCAGTGAACTGAGCACTATTATAGCATGCTAGGTGCTGGTCTCTGTAAGCTCTGACTGACACCTGGTTTGGCGTCTGTAAGCTCTGACTGACACCCAGTCTGGTCTCTGGGCAGTGGAGGAGGGTCGGCGTGCCGACTCGACGCTGGCCGTGCTGGCCCAGCTGGTCAGCCAGGAGGGCGTCCCCACCCTGTACCGCGGCATGGGTCCCGTGCTCGAGTCGCTCTTCTGCTCCAACTTTGTCTACTTCTACACGTTCCACGGCCTGAAGCGGCTGGTGGTCGGGGAGCACAGCGCGCCCAAGGATCTGCTGATGGCCATGACGGCAGGTGGGTGGTGCGGCGGTCGACAGGCGGAGTTCTCGGGCTCCCCCACATCCAATAGGACGGGGTCGTGCTATAATGACTCAGAGGCGAGTGAACCGCCCACGACATAACACACCGTCATCCAGACATCCCTCCACTGTCTTCCAACGAAAGTGTCTAAGGACAGTGTCGTTTAACACTTTCGTCATTACTTCACCCCACTGATGCAGGGTTCCCGCTGTGGCAGGACCTACGTTCCCTTTTTCTGACACACAACGTTCCCACAGCGGCGCTGTCTACCGCACCGTAGGTACCGCAACTGTCGAGATCGGCCATACGGCGTCCCAACCACGGATTAGTATGTGACTACTGTATTCCTGCTGTTCGGACGGTTTGGTATTCTCCGTAAATTGACTCCCCTCCCTCCCGTGCCGCGCCGCAGGCTGCATCAACGTGCTGCTGACCAACCCGCTGTGGGTGGCCAACACGCGGATGAAGATGGAAGGAGTGGCCGAACTACGGAGCCGCGCCGGCGACAAACGGGAGTCGGAGGAGCGACCCCAATCCCGCCGCTACACCAGCCTCCTCGGTGAGACTCAAAACACGCACCGAGTGGCGAGAGTGATCAATATCGGAGTTGTTTCCATGATTGTGATCTATCGTTTTCTTTGTTTTCTCCGCTCCATTTTTTGACCATACCAGCGTTAATTATGTGCTAATGTGTCGCCCAGACGCGGTGCGACGGATCGGCTGTGAGGAGGGGACGGCCGCCCTCTACAACGGCCTGGTACCCTCCCTGCTGCTTACCTCCAACCCGGCCGTCCACTTCGTGGCCTACGAGGCGTCCAAACGCTACCTGGAGGTGAGCGCTGACGGCAGACGGCCGAGGGATGCTGTGTAGAGCCGTGCGAGCGGCTGGGGTCGCCAGTGCTTCCGTGGGAGGCGATTACGTCGAATTTATAACGTTGAACGGTTATTTTCGTTTCAAGTTTCTAGTATTTGTACGTCCTCATCACTCATGCCCATATGGGCTCTCGGGGCTTACAGAGCCGTTTGTTTATTCGGATTTTCTCATGTACCCCAGAGGCCAGAGAGGTGTGACTATGTCCCTCATCTCATCCACAGCGACTGTATGTACCCGGGGGTGCCGCTGTCGGTCTATCAGGTGTATCCCAGAGGAGTATAACTGTACCCCCCTCTTCCACCCCGCCCACAGCGGCTGCACCTGGGGGTGCCGTTGTCGGTCACCCAGGTGTATCCCATAGGGGTATAACTGTACCCCCCCTCGGCACCCACAGCGGCTGTACCCGGGGTGCCGTTGTCGGTCACCCAGGTGTATCCCATAGGGGTATAACTGTACCCCCACCCCACCCACAGCGGCTGCACCCGGGGGTGCCGCTGTCAGTCACCCAGGTCACAGGTGTATCCCAGAGGGGTGTAACTGTACCCCCTCTCCCTCCCCACCCACAGCGGCTGCACCCGGGGGTGCCGCCGTCGGTCTATCGGGTTTATCCCAGAGGGGTATAATTATACCCCCTCTCCCCACCCACAGCGGCTGCACCCGGGGGTGCCGCTGTCGGTCACCCAGGTATTCCTGTGCGGTGCAGCGGCCAAGGCGCTGGCCACTCTGGTCACGTACCCGCTGCAGGCCGTCCAGGCTCAGCTCAGGGTGAGTGAATGACGCTGCCGCATTTTAGTGGCGTATCAAACATTAGCTTTCAATACAGTGTATTGCTAACTTATTTAGTCACATAACCCCGAAACATACCTACAAGCCTTATGAAAGGATAGTCAGTCAACGTGGGACGTATCGCTCAAACTAATGCTCGCGTTCACATCGTATTTGCAGCTACATTGCAGGGCCTCCTCTAAGGATTTTTCACTGGGTGGGCAGAATTTTCGCTACTCCCCTGCCCAAGGGCGAATCCAGCCACTGTTTTGGGGTTCAACCAATTTCAAAACCTGTTACCGGGGGGGGGGGGGGCGGTGGTGAGGCGAAATAAGCAGTGCCGTTATTGGAAATAAGATGATAGTTTGCAAAGTTAACGTTTGTCGTATGTTTTAACCCGCGCACCGACGGGGGGGGCGGATATCCGCCCCCCCTGAGGTTTTTCGCGAATAGCGGGAAAACCGCGGCGCGTAGCGCCGCGAAATTTAGTGTGACTATTCCCTTATCAATTTTACACATGGTGTGCAAGTTTGAACCTCCTACCTTTCAAGGTCAGGTCACCAGGTCACTTTGAATGACCCAACCTCAAGTCACTTTTTTGCAACTTTGTCACCGTGCCAGAGCTACAGTAGATGTCGGAGGCCTTTGAAAGTCGCAGGATGTTATTAGGTCATTAGTAGCTACAATTTGTATATCTCGGAATTTTGATATCGGTGACCTAAGGTCAGGTCAATTTCGCGACCTCCCCATTATAAGTCAATGGGGGAAAAATCAACTCCCTGTTTTTACCACTAAAACGGGTCGGAATGGCCCCATATACCATACATGACTTCATATACGATCAACCTTCACTACCTTGAGGTCTGTTTTGCTGTTGGGCAGCTGTGAGGTCATGTGACGTCATCAAAGGTCACCAAAGGTTTTTGGCCAATAACTCCGTACAGGAACAAGATACAGACGCGTGGATGGTCTCATTGTGTTCAGCTCGTCAAGACGCATCGAATGATATACATGATGACCTCGAGGTCACGTGACCTGAGGTCAACCTTTGACCTTGACCTTTCGAGGTCAACATATATATCATTCGATGCGGATTGACGAGAGGATCACGATGATGCCCTTAGTTTGTTCCTATCTTGACTAATTCGAAAGTTATTCGAGAAAAACTCTCTCCATATTTAGCGCCGCCATTTTGACTTTTTCGACCCCTGTGACGTCATCTTTGACCTGACCTGAAAATGACCTTAGTAAAAATTGTAGATCTTGACCGTGCGTATCCGATGCCGTTTACCGCTTGTCGCTATCTTGCTTCGTTCTTGAGATCTCAGGGGGGGGGGCGGTCATCCGCCCCCCCCCGTCGGTACTAAGTTGGCGCAGACCCCCGTC